AATAATAATAATAATAATAATAATAATAATAATAACAATAATAATAATAGAGCGGTGCAACGCAAAATCATCCCTCGTGTAACTAATCAAAGGACAAAAATGCCCCCCCTTTTCAGTTTAGAATTTGAATTTTGACAAAGTATTTCTTTAACACTTGCAACGACCGACATCGCACATGAAATTGCAATACAAAAAGGTAAAAAAAATGTGCTTAGAACATCTGAACAGCTGCTGACCAACGACATGACTCAATAAGTTCTGTAACCCCCTCATTGGTGAGGCAGTTCTATCTTCGTTTTTACAGATATGAAAGTTCGCTCACTAGAGATTGAACTAGAGTCATAACTGTTATCTTTCCTCTTATTCCACAATGAATAACAGCAAAAGCCGTATTTACATTTTCTGAAACTCCGCCAAGAGACCAGTAAAACAATGCCAGAGAACCAGTTTTGGAAAATACAAACAAGACACATAAGTCAACATAGCAGTGAAGGGTTTGACTCTTTGTATACGGCACGCCAGTATAGTTGGCTCTAGGTATCGCTAAGCTGTTTACCGTCATGACAAAAAATCAACCACATCCCCAAAAATCTAAAATATCTACATGTATAATCAAACTCTGTTATCGATGCATGCAGCATTCATTTCTACTCTTTTTTTGTGTTTATTTCATGGCCATATTCATATTAATATGTTAAATAGCGTAGGGAAATTTGCGATGCTGAAAAACTGGACGACAAAGTTGGTGGCACTCAAAGGTGAAATATCCTTATGTATACTAAGAGTTAAGATATTGTGTATTGTTCAAACACTTGTGATATAAAAGAGCAAACTCGTCATCCATTGTAGCGTTAACAGGTAGACAATGTAACTTTATTAATTAACAAAGGTGAGAAGAGTTCTTTATGAGTAAACTAACACTCATATTTTCACCTACTGTTCTATACGACAGTGAGGGTAAAAAGGAAGCAAGAGAACTGTGGTTTCCCGGTAGACTGCTGAGAACTTCTTGGAAGGAAAGGAGATCAAATGAAGAGGTAGTAGGCCTACTTGAAGAAGTCATTGTGGGCCACTCTCTAAAGAAGCAACCAAGAAGGGACAAATGCAGTCTACGGAACACATGAATAGGCTTTGAGGCCTTGAACATAGATCTTGCTCTCAGTGCAAAACTGAAGGCAAACGCAGAGCAACTTACACGGAGAGCCTAAAACATATGGGTAACGGAGAAAGATCAGGATACATAATCTTTTCCGAGAGTATCCGAGCAAAGGAATGAATGAAGAACCATGACTTCCGATGTCTTTTCTAGTATTAGTTTAGTTAGAGTTTTATGTTACTTGCAATACAATAGGTCATATAATGCCGGAGAATAGATTAACTGACACAAACAAAGTTGAATGACGGACAAAAGAAAGAGACAAAGACGATAGATGTTTGATAGGAAAGATGGAGCTAGCCACACCAGAGCAGCGCCAAACACCCACCTCTCTGATGTCTGTCGCAGATACGGCCAGGGACGGACTGGGTCTTAAAACCGGCCCGGGCATTTGTCATCCGTACCGGCCCACTAAGGCCTAGTAGAACATGCAAAGCCAACATCTTTCTAAGCCTCCATACTATTATTATGTT